AGCCGTGGCTCTGAGTGACATGTCCCTGTTCCAGGTCCCCATGGAGCAGCCACAGCTCCAGGTGCCACATCCCCATCCCAGGTCTCCAGGCCCAATGGATCAGCCATAGCTCCATGTCCCACATCCCTGTCCCAGTGCCCACAGAGCACCCATGTCCCTATTCCAGGTTCCCATGGAACAGTCATGTCTCCATGTGCCATGTTCCTGTCCCAGATCCCCACAGAGCAACCATGGCTCCACATGCCACATGTCTGTCCCAGGCCTGGACTCACCTCGACATCATCTGTGTCTGGGTTCCTGCTGCGCAGGAATCCTCTGCACCTGACAGCAGCTGTAAGGGGAATGGAAAGACATGGGGACACCACAGAGGTGGCAGTGTCATGGGTTGGAACACTGGGGTGGGATATCAGGGTGAGATACCAGGGTGGGATGTTGGAGTGTGATGCTGGAGGGGATGCAGGTGGGATTCCAAGGTGGAATTCCAGGGTAGAATGCCAGGTGCAATGTTGAGTGGGATACTGGATGGGATGCTGAGCAGGATGTCACTGTGGGATGCTGAGATGGATGCTAGGTGTGATGCTGGTGGGATGTTGAGGTGGGATTCCAGGATGGAATGCTGGGGCAGGATGCTGGTTGGGATGCCAGGTGGGATGCCAGGTATGCCCAGTCCCCCTCATCCGTACCTTGCCGGTGAGCGGTGCCAGGTCGAGGGCGTAGATCCAGCGTGCGTGGGCGCTCACCTGGGCACGCAGCACCCCCGTCCCGGCCTCCAGCACCCGGATCTGCCCATCCCCATAGCCTGCAGCCACCAGCCCCTGCCACAGCACCACGGACGAGCACGTGCACCTGTGGGCAGGGCACTCTCACCTCCTGTGTCCCTAACCCACGTGTCTGCCCAGCTACCCTCCCTCACATCCCACACGAGGTGAACTCCTCCCCTGTCCCCTCGGCCACCCTCCCCCGTGTCCCACAGGGCTCACCCCGCCCCCAGGATCGTTTCCAGCAGAGTGAACTCCTTCCCTGTCCCCTCGGCCATCCTCCCTCTTGTCCCACAGGGCTCACCCAGCCCCCGGGATCGTTTCCAGCAGGGTGAACTCCTCCCCTGTCCTCTCAGCCACCCTCCCTCTTGTCCCACAGGGCTCACCCAGCCCCCGGGATCGTTTCCAGCAGGGTGAACTCCTCCCCTGTCCTCTCAGCCACCCTCCCTCTTGTCCCACAGGGCTCACCCGGCCCCAGGGATCATTCCCAGCAGGGTGAACTCGTCCCCAGAGCTCCACATACAGAGGGTTCCAGAGTCATCGGCTGTCACCAGGTCCCCAGACCCCTCCTGCGAGGAGAGATGGCTCAGGCTGGGCAGTGGCACTGCTCCCAGCTCCACGATGGGCACTGGCACTGCTCCTGGCTCTGGGACAGGCACTGGCACTGCTCCTGGCTACAGTACGGGCACCAGCACTGCCCCACAGCAACTGGCAATGCCCCTGGCTCTGAGACAGGCACTGGCATTGTCCCTGGCTCCAGGGCTGGCTCAGGCCGCCCAGGGAAGGGAGAGGAGTCACATCCCTGGCAGGAGGGACTTAGGTTGGCTATTGATTCAATCCCTCCTGGAAATGGCTGCGCAGCCCTGGCACAGCTGCCTAAGGCAGGGAGAGTCACATCCCTGGGGGAATTGAACAGCTGTGTGGATGTGGCACTTGGGGATATGTCAGTGGTGGCCCTGGCAGTGCTGGGGGGTCTCGAGAGGTCTCAGGAGGTTTTTCAAAGTCAAATGATTCTGTGATTCCATCAAACCAAGAGCTGTAGCAGCTTCAGCAGCACAAACAGATCCAAGCCGGAACAGGGCTGCAAGTGCCCGCGGGAGGCTCCGCTAGGACACGTCTGTGTTTGCCTACACCAGGGTGGATTTCGAGGAAGAGTCAGGGCACCCGTCCTGAGCCAGGAGTCTGGGAAGGAGTCTTGACTCCTCCCGGCTCTGGGAATCTCACACCACGGCCCTGGGAGCCTCCAGCGCAGAGCAAACTCTAAGGGAGGGGCGTGAGGGGACAGTGACTGTAGCAGAGGGAGGTGACAGACAGCTGAGTGTCCTCACGGTGACACAACAGCTCTGGGAATGGTTCTGGAGGATGAATGCCTCAGGGATTCCAAGGCAGGGAAAGTTCAACCTGACTCATCAGGGAAAGTGCTGAGTGGCCTCTGAAGGAGGGAGGAGGCTGATGGGTGTCGCAGGGACACGCCCTGGGAGCTTCCAGTGCCTAAAGGGCTCCAGGAGAGCTGGAGAGAGACTTTGGACAAGGGTTGGACGGACAGGACACAGGGAATGGCTTCACACTGGAAAAGTGGAAATTTCGATTGATATTGGGAAGGAGTTCCTGGCTGTGAGGGGGGTGAGGCACTGGCACAGGTTGCCCAGAGAAGTTGTGGCTGCTCTATCCCTGGAAGTGTTTCAGGTCAGGTTGGATGGGGCTTGGAGCCACCTAGGCTGGTGGGAGCTGTCCCTCCCCATAGAATAGGGTGAGACCGATGGAACTTAGGGTCCCCCCACCCTCAGAACCCCCCAGCACTGCCCCCCATACCGGGGCATGGCCCTGCTCAGCTGCAATGTCGGTGATGGCGTAGTGGTGCTGGTCCAGGACCTCACTCAGCATCACATTGGTCCCTTTGGGGGGGACATCGAACACCAGCACAGCCCCAGAGGATGTCCCTGGGGAGACACAGGGGGTCAGCAGGGCTGAGGCCCCTCTCAGTACCCCTCTCCCCCCGTTCCTCCCTTGGCTCACCCACACAGATGAAGTGGCCACCGGCGCCAGCGATGCCTCGGGCGAACACAGAATGGGCTGCAAGGTAACAGCTCTGTGTCACCCACGGGGGAACAGGCCCAGGGCAGGGACTGGCCCCAATCCTGGCACAGGTTTGGTCCCTTCACAAGACATTGAGGGGTTGAAGTGTGTCCAGGGAGGGAGCTGGGAAGAGGCTGAAGTGGTCGAGGGAGTTGGGGGGGCTCAGCCTGGACAAAAGGGGCTCAGGGGGAACCCACCACTCCCCACAACCTCCTGACAGGAGATGCAGCCAGAGAGGGGTTGGGCTCTGCTCCCAGGGAACAAGAGACAGGAGGGAATGCCCTCAGGCTGCGCCAGGGGAGGTTTAGGCTGGCTATTGGGACAATCCCTACTGCAAAAGGCTGTCCAGCCCTGGCACAGCTGCCCCGGGCAGGGAAGGGGTCAATGCCCAGCGTCAGCGGTTGCCTTGGCAGTGCTGGGGGGACTTAGGGAGTCTAAGGAGGCCTTTCCAATCCAAATGATTCCATGAAACCAAGAGCTACAGCAGCTCCAGGACAGGAACAAGGTGCGTGCCCATGTTCCATCCCTTGTGCCTTCCCAGCCCCTGTGGAGTCAGAACAGGGGTCAGGGTAGCATTGGGACCTCCCCCAGCCCCATCCATCCCAGCCCCACCTCCGCCAGGCCACGGGGCTCCTCCCTGTGCTGCCCAGGAGGTACCTGCCGGGTGCTCAGGGATGTCCAGCGCGTGCCAGTACACCATGGTGGAGCCATCAGGGTCGTACATCTGGGACGGGGGACAGAGTGGGACCCCAGGGAGATGAGGACAGCACTGGGGGTGCAGCAAGATCCTCCATGACTCCCCATGCCCCCCAGCCCTCACCTGGATGCCACGCTGAGATGTGAGCACCAGCAGCACTCGGGACTGCAGTTCACACCAAGCGGCCTGGGGGGACACAGAGGGGCAGGGGGGCATGGGCAGGACCTCATGCCCTGCTGCTGTGGACCCCCAAACCCTCCTCCAGGGGCAGGACACCCACACCCTGCTGTTGGGGACCCGCCAACCTCTCCTGGGCCCCTCCCAAACCTTTCTTCTTGGGCAGGACCTCCCCAATCCTCTCCCAGGGACAGGAGCCCTCCCCCC